TTAGTGGTTACAAGTTTTTTCGAAGTACGGTTTGTGAAGTAATCGTGTTGCCGTGCCCTACTTACATAGTTGAGCTGAAGCGAGAGCGCTACGGTAAACTGTGGCAGTCAGCTTAAAATCGTCGTGCCACCTCATCGTGGACTTGCTGACCCACCCAGCCTTTCTTTACGCTCCACAACATCTCATTACAATGCAGAACAAGATGGTTAAAATGAAAAATTGGCACTCGTAGCCCTTAAACGCTTAAGTCATCGTCTTCTTTACAGGGCCATGAGTGCTCATCGTTCGAATACGACGCACGGTCTCAGGAGTGCTCTATTCACTCGGAGGACGGTCAGCCATTCGGTGCCAGCGTTCTGACAAAGACAGACGGACCGATCGCATTTTTTCAGCAGATGTGCGTGCAAGGTAAGGTAAAGATCACGAGAAATTCCTTCGTTGATGAGAACATGCCAACAGCGCCTTACCAGGGAATGTTTTGAACTTCCCATGGAACTTTGAAAGGAGACCTAGGTACATCGATAGAGTCTTGGACGCTGATTACAAATATGGACACTAAAACTGCTACGTGAACTTTGTAAGAAAGTTGTGAGCCTTAAAAGTTGCAAAAGAAGCTAATGATGAGGTGCAACCTATGTGGAAACACGGTTGCTTTCCTGAAACTTCTTCCATATTTGTAATCAGCTTTCAAGACTCGATCGAAGCATCTGGGTCCCCTTCCAGAGTTTCATCTCAATTTCAAAGCATTTCCTGGTTAGGAGGAGCTGTGAATTCGAACTTACCACAAGAATCGTCCATGTAATTTACGAATCGTCCTTCGCAATGAATGCACAAGCGATACAGTTCTTCCTCGTCCACTGGACAAGTCTGATAGCAGTTACTAGAACTGATCGCAGAAGGCTGTTATGCTGTCCCGAAGAGGGTCGGCTTTGACACTAAAAGAGTTTAGCCCCGAACTATGCGCTTTCTACGGCGCTACTTGCTATTACACCTACGTCTTATGGAGGTAAGCAAACCAGCCCTTTTGGCGTTTCGGCTGGGACCGTATGCTGAATGTTGGGGAGGGGATGGGGTCCCCAACGGTCGACGGTTTACTTCAACTCGGTTGGTACGATAGGAGAGTACTGACGCAAGTGGTGCAGCTGGTCCAGCAGCTCCGCCAGAAGGGCTGGTTTGCTCACCCCAGGACTAAGCCTTGGACGGACCCGTCCTCTCTTTAAGGCTTAGTTCTGAGGTAAGCACCAAATTGTGGCGGTTCTAAGGACCGAGTTGAAGTGGTCCGTCCACCGTCGGGGACTCCATCCCCTCCCCAACATTCAGCATACGGTCCCAGCCGAAGCGCCAAAAGGGCTGGTTTGCTTACGTCCGTCGTATCGCGGATGCAGTACTTCAAATATTATATTTGGTAGTCATTTTTTGATCCGAAAAGTTTTTCAGGTGATGCACTTGTGTTGCAACACGTACGGATTTGACGATATCCACAAAGCCTGCTCATCGGTCATGCCATGAAGGTATTTTTCTTCGAGTTTTCTGACTGGACCTGCATACCTTTGTAATTGGAAAACCATACAACGTTGCAACTGATGGGCGTGATCAGTTGCGCTCCAAGTGTTTCTTCCTGATAACGGCATAGATTAATTTGTCGCAGAAATTCGTGCCACTTCAAAACATTTTTTGAGTTAAAGTTATTTCAACAAAGCAATGTACATAATAGTGAGCGCTCTTTTATTTTCCATTTCCGATGTTTTGCTTTTTTTTCTGTCACTGCCGTCACTACGCCCTGTTGTTATTTTTAGCCTAGTGACTAAATTTTTTTTTCTTTCAAAATATTGGTGTAAAAATCTCTGGTACCATCTCGAGTCCAGTCGAGGCTCTTGCGCGCGATGGGCTTGGGTAGTACCGAAAATTCTGTGTGGCACTTCATGTTTGTTTCTACGGCTCCGAACGGGTGTATTACGTATGAAGTCCATAGTGATTTGTATTTCATTTAGATAACAGAAATACGAAGAGCACTATATTATCCCTCATCATTGAAGGTAATTCTCGCTGCTGGACTGTCGGAATGCTTGTCAAAGTGTCTGACAGCCCCTGCTTCACTTCACACACAATGTCGATCAGCGATGTTCTTCTACGAGACCGGCGAATGCATCATAAACCGTGAGCGACGCAGTGACTGGCCAGAGCTGTTCATCGATGTCGTGCAGGACCAGCTGGTCGACTATTTTGAAAACAATTGCCAGGATGGTGAGGATAAATTTAACCTCACACACATGAATTGTGTCTATTTGGAGCATTCGCCTAGTGCCTAGTGTACGAAGCGGGTTTAGCGTTTATATTTGTTGTTTCGATTTTACCATGGTTACGGACTTGTAGCTATGCTTTATGAGGTAACACCGAAACAATGTTTTAAAAATTGTTGTCGAAAACTGCTTGAAATGGAATTAACACAATTGCGTCCAGTTTCATTTTTGAACAATTTACTGTAAATTTACCTACGGTGATAGACTTAGCGAATACGACCGATCGATAGCGAATCGCGGGTCACGAGCGATGCGCCAGCGATTCGAGCGGTGCGGCAGCGCTTCGAACGATACATCTCCGATTCAAAGTGTGGGAAAATTGTGAGGCTCCTGTCTTTCACATGTTGACTCTTCACATTTTCTTATACTTTGGAATCGCAGGAGCACCGTTCGAACCGCCGGCGCATCTTTTGTTCGCGAAGTCTGACAGCAGCCCTAACGTCCAGGTGGCATAGCTGTAAACCCTCATCTCCATTGGGAAACATTGCCTGTGTGAGAGATGGCGCGCTGGGACGATCGCTGGAAAAGATGGTGTAAGTAAACGCGACATGGTGGCCCTTATGGTAATGGGATAAATTTTTCGAAGAAGTTGTTCCATAGGTTTTACAGATAAAATAGTGAAGTGCTTTGGACTTTCAGTGCACTGTTTCAACGGACAACTGCACTGGATTCGAACGGAAGAGTACTACATAAACCACGAGAAAGACGTCATCATCGAGAGCATGAGCATTGAGAATGTAAGGGCAGTTTGTGAGGAGTCTCGTTGTCTTGCGGTATGCGAAAACTGCTGCCCATTGCTTTTTCACTTTAGGAGATTAGATTGGAAACTTGAAAGATTTCCATGCAGGGCCGTGTCGTATACATGCGATCGGAGAGAGTCATTGACACCTGAAAACTGAGGTGTATGAGTGTTTGCACGTTTTCTACTCAACCGCTTTTTCTGTCAATCTTTTGCGTCATTGAGGAAGCGGTATACGGTTCCCGGTTGTCAGGGCAGGCATGCGTTTGTGGAACATTCAAATGAATTCACCTGATATGTGTTCTTTTGATTGAGTATTTGTGTTGATACGCTGCCAAAAAGTGTGGTTATTGACGTGTCTGTAGATGAAGTGGCTGAGGTGGCTTTCCAGGTAACGGGGAAGGCGCGGCAATTCGTTCAATTTGAAGGATTTAAGTGGAGAGTAGCTTCGAGAAATAGTGCTACAAGGTAAGGTAGCCTCCTTGTGCAGGCATATTTGATGTATTTATGTGATGTGCTTGAGCATCCAAGAGTGAGTCAATGGCAGTGCTTGGAACTGAGCCCTACGTAGAGGAAGGGTTCCTGAGGGAGCACGTGAACAGTTCGACACCGAAGCATGCACCGACAGGTGACGTGAACAGTTTGTGTTCTCCGACGTTTCTCCTCCTTGCTGGTCTCAGTCCTAATTGCAACTGCCCATCACTCCCTGTTTAACCCTTTCCGGACCGCCTGACACACATGGTGTGTCAGGAACTTCAAGAGCTGATTTTTCCAAGAGTTTGGTTTTTCGATAAAATATTTTATGTTGTTACATACCTATGTAACAGACTCATGCCATATGTATGAAAAAACCTAGACTTTAGGTTTAATCTAGGTTCTAAAATAACCAAAGAGTAAATGGACTTCCACTTTGGGCTCAAAGAAACAGTTGTAGTTCGCTTGAAAACACTTAAAAACGAAGAATTTGTGAAATATCCTGCTCGTCGTATCTGATTCTTATGGATCCAATCGTTTTGGGCACGTTCTACTCCCTTTTTCTCCATACCAACTTATTTTGAACAATTTTCGTCCCTTCCTCCCTTTTTATGGCCCTTTCCCTTTTTTTGCAAAACAGTTTTCTGTCAAATTAATCTTATATATTCTTCGAGACATGACAAAGACATAAACGAGACAAAATAATGGCTTTAGTGGGAATACAGATTAAATATATGATATTTATGCTTGCCGCGCAGCATGCGGCCGTGAGCGCAAAAAGTGCGCGGTCCGGAAAGGGTTAATGTCCTCCACTCCCCCCCCCCCCCATGGGCATGAGCGCCGCATTTATTAATATGTATATGTTATGATCACAAACTCCTGACTGGTTCCTAATTTCACTAAAACCTTAGACACTTCGTGTTCTATATCCGAGACTCTCACTCTTCTTACCCTACATGTTCATCCATTTTGAGCTGAACGAAAACCGCTCGGTTATTCTTTGTAGACTATGAACTTCCACGTCATGAACGCAACTAGGCGACAAAGCATCAACTTTGGCCTTCCCCATTTTCGGACAATATACAGCCACTTCCTTCAAGAAAAGTGTAAAGCATTCGAATTCGATCGTTCCTTCGAAATACGCCGAGCATGCTACTTCCATTCAGAATCTTAGCGCCATTGTGTAAAGAGTTTGGCCTATACAATGGCTTGCCGGATCCAGCAGATATACGTACAAGTTCCTGTTCAATCCTCTCAGACAAGTCCAAGCCAGTGAGTCGAACCCGGAACTTGGTCGGCCCTGGTGGCGTACGATCAGGGATTGGTTTGATCGCTGGATTGCACGAGTGATAAGCAGCGCTACCTTTAAAAACACCACTCCCACCCTTCTGGAATTCTGAACAGACAATTTCTAAAACCCATGGAAATCGGAGTCCAATATTCAATCCGGGGAACCCTTGAATTCTAGCAATTGGTGATCAGCTGCACAGCTGAACTTGTGGGCTTACTAGAAAACCAACACTTTTAGTGTCGATCGCATGCCTTGAGGCTTCGTTCGAACAAGTCCCCGACAGGAAAATGTCTTCAACACCGTACAAGGTAAGAATTTGTTGTGGGTGTCTGAACTAGGTTGTGCAACAAATTTATTTTTCAGGAGTTTGGTTCAACAAGTGTGCACAACTGTTTGGCAGGATGTCTGGAGGATGGCGCCCACTGCGCTACGGCCGTGTTCAATTACGAAAAGGTTTGTGGGAATAAAAAGACTCATTGACCTTACCTATTAGCAAAGCATGACTAGTTCTTATTTGGATGTACTCCTTGAACCAGGACATGTGGATTGCAGCATCGCCCAAGAAGTAGGCCACTGATTTCATTACGGCTGATGTCAGAGTTTTGAATCGCTTAGCGGATACCGAAGCGCGTGTGGCGAGAACTCATGGTGCGAGAATCGAACGTATGTTGATTCTAGCTAGATCGGAGTGACGAGCGCCCAGCCACTCGGCAATGTTCGAAAGTGGTGGGATTCAATGTTTAAATGAGAGTCCCACCGCTTTCAACCAATGTCTTCCTTTAAAGTGGACTTCATTTGAACCTTGATTCCCTCCACTGTCGAACAGTGTCAACTAGACACTGTCGAGTCGGTGGTACATCGTTCGACTCGCTGGTGCATCGGTCGCTTCGCTGGCGCAACGTTCAATTCGCTGGCGCAACGCTCGTATCTAGCGATTCGCAAGCTATGACATCGGCCTATGCCACCAGTGACTACTCTTTGAGTGTTAGTCAAGGCGTTCACGAACCTCGTCCACGTGGTATCGCGCCATGACATTAATGTAATCGAAGGTATCATATCCATTCGATCTTGCCGTGGGCTCACCGTTGCCTCTGCAATTCCAGGTTAGGCAATTGGCTCAATGCGGTACCTACAGTAGCGGTCAAAAGTGTTCGCCGAAACGATTTTCAGTGCATTATTTTTTCTCGCTTGAGCAACGCCCTCCAAAGATTGATATACTATGTTTTCTAGTGTTTTTATATCCTCAAGTCTTAAAGAATCAGGATATTCAAAAGAAAAAATTTCGAGGCCACCATTGATTTTTTTCTGGCAAAAAAGAGAAGCACGAAAAACCGTTTCGGCGAACACTTTTGACCGCTACTGTAAGTGCACCATGCGTGTAAGGCCAATGCCACCGCGGCTGGAACTCTTGAGGGAACGTGCACGGAAACAGCATGGTTTTATCTTTCCCGCATATCGGTAGCTTATGCCTATTCTTCACCATACGAACGAAGTGGACGACAAAATGCGTTTGATTTGATGGCTAGTCCAAAAAATCGGGAGAACCATCCCCTGTTATTACCGTCGATGGCGGATGAGCGCTTCCATCTGATACTTGGAGTTCCCTCGCCTAGTAAATAGTTTTGGCTTCCTCACCTTACAGCGAGAACATCCCACTTTTCTCTTTCATCCCTATCTATCGCACTGCACCGTTCGTTCTTTTAATTCGAAAAATCCATCATTCTTTCCCATACCTAATTCGTGGCGCGTCACCACGCGATTCGTTCCATGCGTCCTATTGGCTCCGCTGGGGTGTGCGAACTGCCAACAAGGTTTGGCTTGTGAATCTTTGCTTCATTCCGGCATGTATGGAACTCTGAGCACGCTGCAACTAGTAGTCACCCATGATGCTTTCTCGCCAGGAGTAAATGAAACAAACGTTCTCGTGCACATTTTCTTTAACCACTTCCATACCCTGTAGCCCGTATCGCAAATGCCGTTCCCGCTGCGGCGCTTGTAATGTCGCGCTGCAATTCGCATGCCCTAATCACAACTAGTCTTGCAGTGGTGTGATCATCCTCTTTCTTTGAACGGACGACATTGGAGATTTAACGCAAAACCTACCTTCAGGATCGCTGCTCACTGTCAGAGACATCGCAGTTTTCACATCCAGAACTCTTCGTGAAGGCCGAAAACGTGGACTACTTTGACAAAATTTGCGATCCAGTGGCAGCAGAGAAGCGTACTGAATCGATTGCAGAACGTGATGTGGTTGTTGAAGGAGTGACATCGAACTCGATTGAAGACGAAGAGCAGCAAGACGACGACGATCGCGTGGTGAGTTTGAGAAAGCAGTATGCGCCACGACCTCCCCCCATCTCCTTCCTGGTCGTTTCTGGTTCAGATTAATCTGCAACTCTATTTATTGACTGTCGTTTCTAGTCAGATTAATCTGCAACTCTATTTATTGACTGTCTTCAATTTTCTACAAAAATCCACCGTAGAAGGGGTGGGCAGATTGAATGTCGTGAACGTTTCGTGCATTCACCGCATAGTTTCAAAATTTCTTCAAAAACTGGTTAGACCAAGCTCATACTCGTCGCCAAATTAATTTTCCGAGCATCCACCACAATATTTCCAATACCTTGCGCAGCGAGTATGGAGGCAGGGCCCATTTTCTGCTAACTGTTGCTCCCATGAGTTGGCTTGGTTGCTGTTTTCTGGGTCGAAAATCGGATTTCCTGCTAGATCCATTAATTTCACATCATATCCATGATCTCTCTTGAATGATTTCGCACAGTCGTCCAGTGCAGGTTGAGAGTTGGAGAGTGGATATCCGGCGGAAACGGCATTCTGAAGAATGGCCCCTTTGGTAGAAGCGGGACATGTGAATAAACAAAGTCGTGATAGTATCGCGGCTAGTCATCGGGGCTAGCACTAGAAATAATATAATATAAATATTTGAATGCGTGCAGCATCCTGGTAGGACCCCATGTAGACTGAGAAGGGAAGTGGTGGGCCAGCGGTCTTAAGCCACGACTCGGGATGAAGGCCCAAGAGCTAGTCTTTTCAAGAGTGAGAAAGGAGTGATCCCGAAGGGAGGAGGCGCGACATTGTCGCGACTCAAAAGTGCGAGGCAACGGCGCTAAGGCCTTGCCTTGTGTGCTGCCGTGCTGCCATCCTTATCAACCACGGCATACGTGGTCTCTGCGCCCTCTCGCGTACGACGTACTATCTCGCGTTTTCCCTCTCCTCGCAGCGCTGTCTCTCCGTCATACCACGGCCGGCCTCTAAGGGAAATTTAGTGTTTTCTATGGTGCTTTTTGCTCACTAATGTTCCTCATTGCATTTCTTGCCTAAGTTTTCAAAAAAATGACGCTTTAATTCAATCCTGACTTTGTCTACCCAGCCTTCAACTATGCCTAGCCGCAGGTAAGTTCCCATCGTGACTGTACACTCCGCCAATTGAGTATCACCCTACTGTCGGGCCCTACCCACTTATGGTCAGCAGAGCGTTTGATTAGAGCCTCACGTAAGTGATATCGGCACCGATGAGATTCACCCTCGCGCGGAATTGAACGTGGAGAGCAAGGGCCACGTCTTGCTAGTTTCGGCCCGTCTTCCTAATGATAAGTATTTAAAACTGCTGCACCTCTTAGCGGCTCTGCTGCTTTCATTCCCTGCAAGTAGTCAAGTATCGTAGCATCTGCTCTGAACTCAAATTCATCTACGGAGCGACGTAAACAAGCACAGGCTGGTATATATATATATATATATATATATATATATATATATATATATATATATATATATATATATATATATATATATATATATATATATATATATATATATATATATATATATATATATATATATATATATATATATATATATATATATATATATATATATATATATATATATATATATATATATATATATATATATATATATATATATATATATATATATATATATATATATATATATATATATATATATATATATATATATATAATATATGAATGGAATAAGAATACGGTTACGAGTCTAGATGCTCGGAATCAACTTACTAACACCATTAAGCGAAATCCGGTGATACTGGAAAAAAATTGTCGGAGATTTTTCGGACTAGTAATCACAGACCAAGTGATTTTACATCACTGTTGTTTTTCATGTCACTCCAGATATAAACAAAACCTGATAAAGAGTCCTATAAAAAGGTAGGAGCTTTTGGGTACAAGATAGGGATTTATTGCATGGTCAAGCAATTTTGGCATTTTTGTTGAGGGATACAGTATTTGTGCAAGTATAACCTCTTAGGGCCCCGTACGTGGCGAGTGGGCATCATAGCCGACTGATGCAGGTATCGCGAGCGACCACCGTACAATGCGTGGTCTGTGGCCATATGAACCCTTTTTCAATGTTCATCAAGTAGGCGTTACAGCCTTTGTGATTTCCGATATTGACCCTAAAGTGCCTGAGCCGAACTAGTTTATTTCTTCTTCATTAACTCTCCACACTCGGGCCTCTTCCCTTTTACCGCTTGAACCCGGATACGAACCGCTTGGCTTGAAGGCATATTTGAAGTTTCATCAGGTCTTTCTTTCTCTTCCTCGCCCCTCACTTTTTCGTTAGTTTGATTACATTGAGTCCAACTGCCTTCATTTTCATTATGAAGGAAGCAATTGTAGAGCTTTGGACTATTGCAGATTTCATCCCAAGAATTTTTTCTCCTTATCTTTTCAGTGTTTCACGCCTTATGCCTACTGTTGCATGATTTTTCCACGCATCATACTGATTTTGGCGCGCCCAGTATTCTTTACTGAGCGTAATAATAAATAAATAAGCCTTGACCGTCTTACCAGCAATTGTTATCAAACATGCGAACAACAGGTTTCGTAGTCAGGAATTGTGTTTTTCATTGGTACTCATCTCAATAGAAGACGCACAAAAGGTAAGATCGATGTGACTCTTAATTCAGACGTCGCTGAGTCTAGCTGATGTTGAAGAAGTGTCCAAGGCGGTCGAACCTGTAGCGAGCTCGACCCCGTCGAGTAATCTCAAAGTCAAACGTTGTCGAACAAAAGGAGGCGCAAGCTGAAGGCGTTGTCATCGACGACACTGCTGAATTCCAGAGGGACCAGCAAACTCCTGTGAAAGCTAGTAAGTGGCTTTTGTAGTATTGAATTTTAAGAATGTATTGAAGGAGTTTTTGTCTCCAAGTTCTTTTCACTTCACGATCTCTTTGTGCACTCTTCTTTTTGACAATGTGTCGCCTGCTTGAAAATTCAAATTTGCAGTGCCAACCCTAGACATTGCAGGATTTCAGTACGCAACGTTAAGCATCTGTCAGGGATCACTTACTACCAGATCCTGAGCTCATCAAAAAAATCGATGCTGTTCCAGAACGCGGGTCATTATGAAGAATGGGAACAGGCAGCGAGTTGTGAGAGGTTTTTCTAGGTAGCGGTGATGAAATGGTGGAGCAACACCATGTAATTCTTAGTCTGCTCTTCGAAGAGTGGCTCCTGTAAACAGTCCGCGCTAACTTTATGTGCAGAGAAGAGCCATGCAATAGGGTCTTTCCATAGGGTCCGTGACAAATTGGCACGGCTTCGACGAGGCAGTGCGAGGCTTATTTTTCATAAACACTGCTCATCATAACGACACGTCCGCCAAAAATTTCCCCAAAACTCGAGCCAATTTTCGGAGAGCTTGTTGATGTAACTCCCATTATGAGGACCAATTCATATGGATGATCATTTTGATGTTCTTCCTAACATCTTCTAACCTGCCGTCAGCGGTTCATTTTGGAGTTGTTGATGGCGCTCATGATATGTTGGATAAGACCGAGACCCAGGCAGGTTCATTTGTGTCGTTCAATCAATTTCAAAAGTTTTAGGACCCCTCTCCTTTGAATAGACGTAGTTTAGTGGTGGCAAGCGGTGGTCCGGAGAGCAAATCCTTGATCATGCGTCATCCAGGCCAACCAAACTTTCCACAGTCCCGGCTTTGGTACCACATCTGCGTGAGAGGGTAAGCACACTCACTTATAGAAGATTCTCAGTCTACCAGCCTACCACCGTAATTCTTTCCGAGGGTTTTATTCTAGCACCATGAATGCCTTCCAACTCCGCCCCGCATTCTCTTCAAAACTGGTATCGAGCATACAGCTTTTGAAAAAACGACGTCTACACAATTTCGCCCTAGTCATGCTCTTTTCATGTGATTTGTGAACCAACTTCAAAATTCCCAAACGATCCCCCTCTGTCACACGTAACACTAATTCTCCCGGAATTCTCTTCCAAACCCCCCCCATTCACTCACCAACTCAACTTTCACCACTACGATCTCCGGATGGGATTCTCGCAACGGGTGGTAAACCTTGCTTCCTGCGCCTGCACATATGTATTAGGTTGAGTGGGTTATCTAAGCCGCCGTAACGCTGAAAATGTAGTTGGTGTTAGCAAGTAACGTTGAGATGGCTCACGGCTTCCAATCGGGGGATTGGATTCGTTCGCATCGATCATCGTTGGGAGTTTCAAAGCGCTTTGCTTAATTTGGCTTTTCAAGGTCATCTCCCGCAACGAAATGTACCTCTTTTAACCCTTCAGTTACTTCTTCTTTCATTCTTTCTTCGCTCCTCTTCTTTTTCTTTCCCTTCCTTTTTTTATCTTCACCTTACTCGGTTCTACGACGGTTCTACGAAAGTGAAAATGACCACACATATTCACATATTATCGAGAATCCTTTGCCAAATTAGAGAAGTTCACGCTATAAGCGTTTATGTAGAACATGCATTTGAGGGCTCACGACGGAGTGTCTCATGTCTGGTGTGACCGTGAAAGTGGAACTTGCGTCGGAAACCTCGGGTGCCATCTACATCAAAGTGAGTCGTTCGTCAAAAATTAGAAGAATGGACTGGAGATGAATTTTTTCAGGAAAACTTTGCCACCTGTCGCACAGAGTTTACGAACGCCACTGAAGTAGAGCTGCACATACCATTTCCGGAAAGCGACGATCCTGATCCAAGATGTCCCGGCACTGAGATTGTAGGCTTACTTTATTTCATTTCATTCTACTTTAATACGTCTGGAGCGAAATGCACGCTTCTTGCAATGGCACACGCAGCTTAAATTCACCAGTCGTCCTGGCCTTAAAGGCACGGTTCGGGATCGATCTGGGTTTGCACTTGCAAATGAGTGCAGAAATGCCAAATGGAACGCCACTGAAGAAAAAACGGGAAGAAGCCGTCGACAAGACCAAATATAAATTCTCCCCAGACAGCGGCGAAGGAGGCTGGTTAAGGATGAGTCCATGTCCGAACGAGTTTTCGGGTATGCCAACCAGGGTCAATCGTGACGTCCGCACACAAAAATTTCGCGAGCCTCCTCCTTTAGGGGGTCTCGATGCGACCCCCTAAAGGAGGAGGCTCGAGAAATTTAAGTGGGCTATACCCACTCACCACCATGAGACTCAGGATGCTCCCCCTATACGATCCCCCTTCCCCTTCTCCTCCAAACGCCGCCCTCACCATCATGTGTATAGCCCGACTCCGCCCACTTCTCTTCCAAAAGTCTAGAGCGAGAGGGGACGGGGGGACAAATATTCTCTGTTAGTCTCCCACGAATCTCTCAAAAAACCAACCACAAATGCGACCCCTCGTTCGAATAGTGCGAAAGCATGGTTAACTCTGGTGCCATCCATTGTGGCTCTGAGAAAGCAGCTGATCCGCGGTGGGCGGTCATAGCTCACGTCGTCCTAAATGCTAGGCCAGGGTTGTTATAGCCGCGCGGTTTCGAGTCACGAGCGCGGCATCACCTCTATGGTTGCAGACCCAGTCATAGTATCGACAGAGCGGGTTCCTCTGATCGCCTAATCCGAACGGTGCTTTTTAGACACGCCTCAGACACCTGTGTTACCTAACTTGTCTCTCCCACCTACCCTAGTGAATTCCATACCGAAAACAGGCAGCGAAATAACTAATGGCAGGCAGATGACGCGGTTCGAACATCTGTGCAGATTAGTTCAATGGCAGTTTTAACTAACTTGGTGATGCTTGTAATAAAGCATTAGATGAGTAGAGCTCCTGCGTCACTACTTTGGTGTGGCGGAACGTTTGTGACCGGATTATTCGAAAAGAATCATCTTGAAAGTAGTCGAAATTAATCTTTTTGCCCGAAAATTTAGTTAGTCGTAAACAAACAGCTGCACTGGAACGAACAGTTTGTTTTTCGTGACTCAGTGAGTGAGTTAGTACTACACTATTACGAGATCTACCGTCATCAATGGCTCCTTGTGCTCGGCACTTCCTAAGGATGGCGGCGCATGCGGTGTCTCTAAGCCTGCGGCTACGTGAATGATGAAACGGCCCCACTGCCACAGCGGCTCCATACAGTTTGACCCTGCGGAAGCCTGATTTGTTATACCAACTGTTTTGAGATTTTTCTTACCTTATATTGCTGCACATAGCAGTATGAAACAACAATACCTAGTATCAGTAGAAATCGCATCGCGAGAGTGAATTTAGAAGAGATCGACAGTTCGCATTCAGGCACCGTCCATATGGTCCTTCTCGGTTGTCATACAGAAGAACGAGATCAATGCCCCGTCCTTGGTCACATCGGTCGACCGAGTCTTCAACGTTACATGTAACTACGTTGACCTTCTTGGACGAAGTGCAAGGTATAAAATGACAATTCGAACGTCATTCAACTCACAACTTTCATTTGCCTTAAAAAAAGGCAAATTAGTGAGAATCATCCTCATGGAGATACTAACAGAAGTACAAGTTTCAGTTCTTCCCCGTCTTCAGTCGGCGAAACTACTGAAGACGAAGCCTTCAAGAATTGAGCTGGAAATACTCCGAAATGGGCGAGCGGTGACTACTGTTCCACTTGGTGACGAGGTCGAGCTGCGATGGAGAAGTGAGTTTTCAGGAAGAAATGGCTGTCTTCGAGACCATGAACAGTCCGCTTCAAACGCCACGCTTTCTCATTGTACTCGCACGATTCTACTACTGCAGTGAACTTTCGCTTAACCCTTTCGGCCCAGGCGGTGGCGATTGCCAACATCAAGTTTGAATGCATGCATTACCGCTGCAGAAGCATATCTCTACTACGGACTGTAGGGTTTACTTCAGACGACCTTCCCCTTCCTAATTATGCTTTGAGCCCATTTTTTTATTGTGTTGCTGTTAGCATTACAAGTATTTGTGTACAAGTACAACAATGAATCGGTTCTGGTCTCAGCAAGCCGCTAGGTAAGTGTCAATCATTCGCGAAATACCTGACATATATTCAAAATCCAGGTCCGAAAAGTAGACGAACTCTTTCTTGAGCTGTGATCAGTCCGATTGTGTCACATTATCTACACTTGGTACCCTGAACAAGTTCGCAGTTCAATTCGCTGTTGCACGGGTCAGATACAAGTAGTTCGGTCATGGGGGAATGAGCTTAAGATCAACGCGAGAATATAGTCAGTCGCGAAACTTCATGTTCGCGTGAGGTGCTTCGCACTAATTCGTCATTGCCTATCGAAGGAGAAAGGTAAGTGTTTAGCTGATCATGAGCCGAGCGCGCATCTGTCCGACAGTACGCCATTTGTGTAATCAGAGAGATGAACATCACAATTTACCATTTAAAATAAATTTGTAGTATACTTCTTGAAATTATTCCTGTGCTGGCGAGCCTATTTGCACCTGAAAGTTCATTCAGGATTGCAATTACTAACACTGTCGCTTCGCAAAAAATGCTTTTTAGTTCGATCTCGTGAATATCCGTCATTTTTTCCCGTCTATCCTTTTCATCTAGCACGCACAGGTGCAACAACACAGACTTGAACGCAACCAGATTGACTCAGCGTCTTTTTCGACATATTGTGTGAAGTTGTGTGTTTTAGTATTGGAGCAGTCACCTGGTCATGGCTACTTTGTGGATAGCTGCATTGCCGAACGAGTTGGAGGCGCCCCTCCACATCCTGAACCACTCAATATCATTAAGCGAGGGTATGTTCATGGAGTCTCAAGCTCAAGAGGAATCGTCCACGGAAAAATTTGCCTCCCTCTCACTGGAAGTTGACAGCTCAACCCCTGGCTTCCCTATGATAGCAAGAAGAAAGAAATATAACCGCTGGTTGTGATTAATCTAAATAAAGCACTTAGGCTGTAAGGAGCTTGAAGGAAGATTCCACTAAGAACGAAAGTTGACCAGTGGGAAACTTACCTAGTGGAGAGACAGGAAAATTGCGTGCTGGTCCGCACCCTTAGGCGGACCTTCTAAGGGTGTGGACCAGCGCGCAATTCTCATCGAAGTACATGCTCCAGCGATCTGGCATGGCCTCCCTTTGCTCAGTTGGCCTGGAACTTCCGACATAGGAGAGGGCATTAGCCTTAAGCATTCATGATCGCATCAATGCGAAACGGGCTAGGATGAGGTCCCATTTCCTGGTTTCCGGGCTGTCTCACATGGTTTTTTGTTCATCCCTACTTCACGGAGCACTCCTACCCTTATTTCCAAGTAGGCTGCCTTTTCATCGTAAATCCTCCTTTAAGTTCCAGTCGCAAAACTATCATAACTGCTGGCGTTGGAGGGCAGACACCACCTAGCGGATGAAAAGGAACAGATTTTCCGTGGAGCAGTCCTTTAATTTTAAGCTTAAATGTGATTGATGCTCTTCATATTAAGGTGTCCTGATGAGAAAATCAACAATCGCCTCATCAAATCGCCGATCGTACGCGAACCCGACGGATTCTCCACAAAAATGAAGGTACTATTTTTTGCAAGATAAGAAAAAACCATTATAAACAAAATAATTAAATACGGTTCGTTTCGCTCCTTCCTCAGACGAACCTTATTATTTCGTCAATCCCCGGAGCTCATCAGTGAGTTGGGATTGGCGAAATAAAGCCTTCTGTTCCTGATACTGCACGGCAGCACTACCGTTGATGCTCATCGGGTCCCCGCAACGGATTAGCAAAAGCACATGCCCTTCTTCAAAAGCAGCAATCACGATGGCCGGAGGGTGGTGCGGTCTAATGATGTCATTGAAATTCTTTGGAAGGTCATCAAGGCGACCCCGACAACACCCTAGCGCGCAGAGGGTCTAGTCCATCAGTGGCTCCACTACTGCGCTACCTTCCAGTCATTATGATCAATGCCGTTAAGTCTTAGTAACGTTACGAA